TTAAAAAAAAAAAAAAAAAAGAAACACAACAGTATTTAAAAAAAATAAATAAATAAAAAATAAAAACAAAAATTCCCTTGGGGCGCCTGGGTGTCTCAGTTGGTTGGGCGTCCAACTTCGGCTCAGGTCATGATCTCACGGTTTGTGAGTTCGAGCCCCGCGTTGGGCTTTGTGCTGACAGCTTGGAGCCTGGAGCCTGGAGCCTGCTTTGGATTCTGTGTCTCCCTCTCTCTCTGTTCCTCCCCCACTCGCACTCTCTCTCTCTCACTCTCAAAAATAAAGATTAAAAAAAAAATTTAAGAAAACAAAAACAAAAGCTACCAAAATTCTCACTCCAGACCTACTGAACTAGAATCTGGGTATTTTTAATAGGTTCTTCAGGTGAGTCTGATATGAAGACAGGTTGGAAATCATTGGACTAAATAAATGACCCTGTTACTAAACCACATATTGACCTTTTCATATAGTGACTATACTTTTACAACAGCTTTGGAAGACATGTATATTACGGTCACTGTTCTAAAGATTGAGAAACAGGATCAGGAAAGTGAACTACCTGAGATCACATAATTAAGTAAATAGCTGAGTCAAAACTTCAATTTGGGTGATTCATGTCGTTTCATGTCACAATGGTTCCACATGGTTCTAACATTTATTACTCTAGAGGATACTTAAAACGTATTATTCTAGGGGTGCGTCAGTCGGTTAAGCGTCCGACTTTGGCTCAGGTCATGACCTCGCAGTCATGTGAGTTCGAGCCCCGCGTCGGGCTCTGTGCTGACAGCTCAGAGCCTGGAGCCTGCTTCAGATTCTGTGTCTCCCTCTCTCTCTCTGCCCCTCTCCCCTGTTCATGCTCTGTCTCTCTCTGTCTCAAAAATAAATGTTAAAAAAAAAAAAATTAAAAGAAAAAAAACGTATTATTTTAAAAGGCCTCTGTTTTGAGAAATGACCGCTAAAGCAAAGTTGTGGAGAGGAGTGTATGGCACAGGTGGAAAGCAAGATAGGCTCCCATTATGTAACCTTAGAAACTGCAACAGACAGACAGACAGACAACACCCACCTTAACTGTACCATCATCACTGCCAGTGCAGACAAGCTGGGGGCCCCTCCTGGCTGGGTAACAGGAATTCACAAAGGAAGTATGTCCTTTCAGCCTTTTAACCCTCTCGCCTGTCTCACTGTCCCATACTGCCACAGTTTTATCTGTGGATGCGGAGAAGAGCATACTACAAGAAGAACAAAAAAGAAATAAGTGAAGAAAAGCAATGGCAACCCACCCCCTCCCCGCCCACACACAACACTTGCCAAAACGTGCTACTCTTTAAGGCCACTGACAGGTTGTGCTCTGACAGTTTGACACATGATGCAGGAATGCTTCACCCTCCCTAACAAAATCCTGCTGGTTTTCTAGACCCAGTTACAAGGTCTACTCTATGCAATGTCAAAAAAATTTCCTTCTGTCAGTCCCCATGATGTATTACAACCTAATACCAGTAGTTTTCTCAATCTTTTTCTCCTTTGAGATAGACAACACTTTAGACATTTTCCCATCTGGAAATGTTTAATCGCTCCCTGCTGCAGAGTGAAGACACACTGTAGCAATTCCTGACCTGGTGGCTCGGTAAAGTTTTTACTTTGTTTCCAAAAATGATTTCTAAGTTATAATTGATTTCATAAGGCATACTTTACTCAAATACTAACAGGGAAAATGTATACAAGGTTATGTACCAGTTGATTCCGGGACCCTAAGATTTTAGAGGCCAGAGGTATAAAACGATGAATGTTCACTAAAATACCTAACAGGATTAAATGACTTTGTATGATCACATTTTTATATTACCTAGGTTATTGTAAAATTATGCGGTCATTAAAATGTTTATGATAAAATGTATACTATGATACAGATACAACAGGTGAGTAACAGTAAGGAAAAAAGCAGCAGAAAAGATCACACATGAAGCTCTAACGTATACGAAAAACCAAATGGCTTCGAGTAGGAAAAAAACTTGAGAAAAACATATCATAAGATTAACAGTGATAATCTTTGGAGTGGTAGGAATATGGGCTATTTTTTCATTTATGTTTTTGAGTTTCTCAAAAGAAACGTTATTGTTTTTATTAAAAAAAAATAACTGATATCTGCATATGCAAATTACATTTTGTTTTGTTTTAAAAAGAAACAAATTTGCCTGAGCTGTCGATGTTAGGTGATAGAGATGTATTCACGTATGCGTACATGGAGCAAGAAACACCAAACTTGGCTTAACAGTGATAGGATAATAAAGTAGCTGCTCAAAATGCAGTCGTTTTTGATGGCATAGTCTCCTGAAAGAGAAAACTCAAGGATGCAACGTGAAAGGATGCCGAGACAAGTTCGTAGGAGAAGCAGCTGTCATTCCACTGTGCGAACTACTCACCTGCCATCGGTATTATAATGCAGCTCCATCACCGCCCCACTGTGTCCCTTCAATGTGGCATAGTTATCACAGTCACCATAGACATTCCACAGCACTGTCAGGGAGACAGGGGTTCTGTGATCATTACTACGCAAAAGAAAAGTCATCATTGGCCACAGAAAAGGTACTTCTAAATTTATCACAACAGTTTTGAAATTATACTCCCTGGGAGTATTCTCCCTATTGGTTCTCCCAGCTGGACCGATTTTCCTGACACTAAAACAAAAGTAATGCCATATTTTCATATTTCATAAGGTTGAAAAAATTAATTTTTTAAATCTGAAAGTTTTCTGCTGTAATGTTAAAAAAGCTGGTACTCACTCCTACATGTCTGCTATGAGTATAAGAGAACTGCAAAATGATGGCACTTACAGAAAACCCAAGAAGCTGCAAACTGAGTTGAAGGGCACATGGCAATGACTTTATATTACATTTACTCATTCCACATGTACCATGTACCCGTAACAAGCCAGATGCTGGGGTAAAATGACATAAGCGAATAGACACGGTTCCTGTCCTCAGGCAGCTTGGTTTAGCAAGGAATGAGGCTTGAGTATTATTAAGGAGCACCTCTATATGCAATAAGGCATGTACATATGGTATTCTTCTGTTGATAAACCATTTTTTTGTTTGATGAAATTAAGCACATCAATTTAAGGGATTGATCTTAATTAATCTTCTGCAAAGATTCCCAACTCTTCCAGATGCTTGGTCACTGTTAAGTTGAAGGATCACAGAACTAGAATACCTACATCAAGACAGCAAAGACAGCTATCATCTACCTTGAGGTACAATCTTATAAGCAAAGAGCTAAAGGACTCACTTAATCTCACAATACAACAAACGATGCCAGGATAAAAGAGTCAGATGTTTCTGGTATCTTCTCTCTTGTTTTTTCTCATGACTCTTCTGAAGTGATTTTTTCTACTTATTTCTGAAAAATGGGTATTCCCAACTAGCAGCTGAGAATCTAAATGCCGTATGATCCTGATGACGTACAGGTAGATTATCCAAGTGAGTTGCCACTTTAGGATCCCCATGTCCCCTCCTTCTTTTCATATGCTAGGATTCTATGAGTGGATCAAGAGGAAGGCCTCACACCTTTGGGAAAAGGAAAAGCTATCTCTCCATTACTTCCATTAACCTGGTATGCCTAGATCTCTTGTCTGGCTAAATCAGCTCAAGATTTGCCTCCATGAGGAAGATACCCTCAAACTAGGACAACTCACTTTCCAAGGAGTAACATGATTCCTCCTGTACTACACGGACCTTGAGTTCTATACCCAAGATCACTCAACATTTTCATGACACTCTTTCAGCATGTTAGCCAGGCAGTTTGTGATGTGACCAGCTCAGACTGACACCTTCTGTGGCACTGAAGGTTTTAAAAGAAGAATCACTATTTGGCAAAGAACAATTACTCCAGCTTCAAAAACTCTCTTACATATCAGTCGATCGAATCCTGCAGATGCTAAGGTGGATCCGTTGGGATGAAACTTGCAGCAGTACACTTCCCCTTCATGTCCTGAGAGAAGCATGATTGGAGCTTGAAGGGAGGAACACCTGGGAGGTCCCTAAACAAAAGACAGAAGTATAGGGTAGTCACTGCATACAGGCAAAGGAGGCTGCAAAAGACACGGGGAACAATAATCGAGTGGATTTCTTCTGATTTAGAGAACAGCAACTTTTCTCACGTGAACTTCTGCCTCCAATGCGACGCGGTCCTGCTGAAGTGTCCAGTGTCTATCTGTTATTCTACCTACTCCCTCGTTCTGCTCCCGTCCCATAGCCAACTTTTAATTGCTCAAACATGTTAAACTCATTTCTGCCTCAGGATCTTTATCCTTGTTGTTGTCCCTGATCGGGATCTTCTTCCCTTAGATCTTCCTGTGTTTAGCTCCTTTCAAATGTTTCCACTTCAGAAAGTGTTTCTTTGACACTCAAACTCAAGCAGCACCACACCTTCCCTCTGCATTCGATTAGTCCTACTGTACTTCCCCATAGCACTTATCACTACCTGCAATTACCTTCCTTAGTTTACCTTATTTTTAACGTATCTCGTCCTTTTTCCCCACTACAAAAGGTTTGTGAGTGCAGGGACCCTGCTTGCGTCATTCAACACTGTTTTCCCAGTCTCTAGCTCATTTAATGAATGAATGAGTGAACTGACCTTCCCAACAACTCCGCAGGGTACAGATTACTGGGGAAAGTAGTTTTGATTATGGTCTCGACACTAAGCCTAGGCTTGGACAAGTCACTAAAACCTCATACTCTTGTCAGAGAGAAAAACTAGTACACTATCAGTAATCCCCAAACCTCTTCAGTCATTTCCAGTTTATGCATTTATTAAAAAAATATATATTATGTGCCAGACACTCTCTAGGCACTGGGAAAATGGTACTGAACAAAATAAAAACAAACAATGGAGTTTGTGTTCTAGAGAGGAGGAGGAAGAGGAGGGAGGAAGAGAGAAAACAAATAAAACAGATGGCAGGTGGTAGGTACTATGGAGGAAAAAAAGCAACGTGGGTTAACGCATATGGTGAATTGCAACTTAGAACAGGGTCGTCAGGAAAGCCCTCACTGATAAAGTGGTATCTGAACAAAGATTTGGAGGAGCTGAGTGTGTAAACCATGCGGGTATTTTGAAGAAGAGCACTCCAGTAGAGTGTAGCATATGAAAAGGCTTTGGGGCAAGAACATGGAAGCCAGTGTGACTGGAGCAGGGTGAGCAATGGAAAATTGGCACATCTGAGCGGTAAAGGGAAAGAGGGCAAAAGGCTGTAAGGGTTTGGGTTTAACTTTGGGGGAAGTGGAAAGCCACCGAAAGTCTGCAGCAGAGGGTAACGTGATCTGATGTTTAGCAGGATTCCTCTGGCTGCTGGACTGAGAACAGATTGACCAGACAAGAGCAGAAAACAAGAATACCAGTTAGAACCTCACTGCAATTGTCAGATGAGACGATCATGGCTTAGACCAGGAGCTAGTGATGGAGTTGGTAGAAGTGGTCGCAATTTGGGATATATTTTGAGGAGGGTGCCAGCACGATTTGTTCATGGACTGGCAGAGAGGTTGAGACAGGAGACCCATGTATTTCTTGATCTGAGCCTAACAGTCCAGGAGGAGAGGTGTGATCATTACCTCTATCTCACAAGAAACGCAGTTAGGAGCATGGATTCTGGGCTTAAAATCTGTTTCTACCATTTACCAGATAAGAGTTTACAAAACAGGATACTAACAGTTCCTACCTCTTTAGCTATTAACCAAGATTAACAGAGTTTTCATGTACAAAGTACTTAATACAAGGACTCGATGAATGTTAGCTATTGTTCGGTTGTTGTTAGTAACAGTACTAGCGCTGAGAGGTAAAGAGGAAAGCAACTTGCCCGAAGTCCCAAAGCGAGTCGGTGTCACTCATTTCCTTTCTCCCCTCATTCACTCATTCATTCATCCGTCCATTCTACAAACTTTTCTGAATGTTGACTCTATGTCGGATCCCTGGAAGATTAAGTATGAGAAAGCCCTGGTACTGGTTTTGAGTTCAAGGTCCTTAAACTCTAATTCTAACGCCACGCCACAGGGTGGTCGAGACGCTGAAAACAGGAGTCCGACGGGCTAACGAACGCAGCATCCGCGTGGGGGGGGGGGGTGTCGACGGCTTTTACAGAGTTTTCTGCTTTAACTACACGTAGCGATTCTCGTTCCGCCCCCGCAGTGCGGGATCTCCCGGTGCAGGGCTCTCGGAGATGAAGGATGAGCTGAGGGCCGAAGGCCGCCTCCTACTTCACTTACCGCTTGCAGCAAAGCTCCCGGCGCCGTCTGCTGCTGCCCGGCTCCGGGGCCCGACCCCGCCGCTCCCAACAGCAACTCATGCCGCTGCCGTTTGACTGGTACCAGCGGCAACTCTGGGCCCTTGCGCTTCTGCTGTTCTATCATGGCGGCAACCGCTCTTCTCAGCGCCGCCGCTGACCGCGCCGACAGGCTCAGGCACCGCGCGATTGGTTCCGACTTAGTTCTTCCCCCAGAACTTCCGGCTTGGAGAAACCAATCGGCTTCCAGTAATCTCCTCTGCACCGCCCCCTGAACGCTCTTCTTTTATTGGTCAGCTCTTCCTGGCGTCACGAGAGTACGATGCCAGGATTGGTGGGTAGAGCTGGAGTCCCACCTAGGCGCGCTGTGTCTTGTGGGTGGAAGCGCTGTCTGGGTTTTGGCGTTTCGCGCAATGCTGCGGCGGGGAGACCCGGAGCTGATACCGAGTAAGTGGAAGGAAGGTCGGGGGTGGGTGGCTGCGGCATTTGGAGGCGGCGCCTCGGTTGTGTGGCCTGAGCCTGGCCCTTGTCAGCGGAAGGTTTGCAGGAGGCAGAGGCGGGCCCAGAGTTCGCCGCGCCGGTAGGTAGCAGCGTGGGTTCCGCTTCTAGGCTGGGGCAGAGCGTTGGGGTCTTTGCGGCCGCCTGGGGCTCTCGACGGCTGGCTTGTTTGTCCAGCGCCTGCAGTGTAGAACCCTGTGCCGGACGCTCCCAGGGAGGAAAGGCCTGTCTCCCAGCTCCACCAGGTTCCTCTATGGCTGAGGAGGCCGGCTTGTTTCTACCACTGATGGTGCAGCCTTGTACTAGGGCCTGCTTTGTGCCTCAGAGAAACAGAGATGAGGGAAATGTCCGACGCCTGCTTCTCCTGAGTACGGTCTTGTTGAGAGTTTTGGATTCATACGTGGGAACCAGGTCTCCTCCTTAATCGTCCAACTGATACTTATTGTGCAGAGCCTCGGGATACATTGTGAACCAGACATGGTCCCTGACTTCAGGGGCTTGAGTCTGGTGGTGCAAACATGTAAAAACAATGATCTCACTAAGAACTGTAAAATAGTGCTGCCTAAGAGAGGGGCCTGCTGTTATGCGTGCCTAAAATAAGCAGAAAGGCATCTGTGAACAAAAGGTGCCTGAACTGGTAACCTAAAGGGAGAATTCTAATTACTTAGGTCAAGAGAGGAAGGCAGAATATTCCATCTAGAACAGCATGTGCAGGGGCCCTGTGGCAAATGACTAAAAGGCAAAAAGAGGCCACTGTGGCCAATACAGAGGAGATGAAGGAGAGTCTCGTACAGGATGTAGCCGGAGGGGGGGTAGAGGTGCAGAAATCTTACTGTGAGAATGATGGGAAGCCACTGGATGTTTTTTATGGGGGAGGGGGAGGTGGTCTGGTGGGAGAGTGGCTTGATCCCTCAGGCCCAGTAGCATGAACAGATAGGAGGAGAGATAGGTACAGATAGACTACTCGGGTGAGAGCTATTAGCAATGAAGACTGAGGTATTTGTACAACTGCAGGAACTGGACAGTTTTCTAGAGATATATAGGAGGTAAAATTAGTAGGATTTAATGATGGATTGGATTTAGGGAGTGAAAGGAGAGAAATCAAACTGTAGGTCCTAGGTTTCTGGCTTATGCAACAGGGTAGTTCTTTTTTTGGAAGAAGAAGAGGGAGGTGGTATGATATCCAGGAGGCAGTTTGAAATATGGCTTTGGAACTCAGAAGCGAGTTTTCGGGAAACATTTACTTGGGAATAATTGCATATAGGTGACAATATGAGCCATAAGTGTGGGTAAGAGAACCTTGAATGGTCCCAACTTGTAATGGCCAAGAATGAAAGCATGAGTCCACAAGAGAAACACAAGAGCTATAGAGGAGGACCAGAGGAATGTTGCCTCAGCAGCAGGAAATGGTCTGTGTAGTGGTGCCTGGCTGGTCCAGTCGGTAGAGTGTGCCAACTGTTGATCTTGAGGTTGTGAGTTTGAGCCCCATACTCGGTGTAGAGATTGCATAAAAATAAAATCTTTAAAAAAAAAAAAAAAAAGATTCTGTGTTAGAAAAAGTTTCTGTGTTAGAAAATCCTGGGATTTGGGGCGCCTGGGTGGCTCAGTCGGTTAAGCGGCCGACTTCGGCTCAGGTCATGATCTCGCGGTCCGTGAGTTCGAGCCCCGCGTCAGGCTCTGTGCTGACAGCTCAGAGCCTGGAGCCTGTTTCAGATTCTGTGTCTCCCTCTCTCTGACCCTCCCCCGTTCATGCTCTGTCTCTCTCTGTCTCAAAAATAAATAAAAAACGTTAAAAAAATTTTTTTAGAAAATCCTGGAATTTAAATAACATGAGAATTGAAACATGTCTGTTGGCTTTATCATCATGGAGCTTATGGTGTCCTTCGTGAGAGTTGGTGTGATGAGACCAGAAGCCAGATATGAGGCAGAGATTCAGGAAAGGAAATGGAGGCAGTGAATCTACAGAGTATTTTTCATACATAAGATTGTAAAGGAGAGGAGAGGATGTGGCAGCTGAAGGAGATGAGGGGTCACCAAGGATCCAACTGAGAGGGTGAAGGAGAAAGTGAGAGAGAGAGAAATTGGGTCATTGATCGTGTTGTGAAAACGTGGGGATGGATGGGATCCAAAGTACAGTTAGAGCAACCTTAGGAAGATGGACAGTTTCTCCAGTGAATAGAAAGGAAGAAGGAAATGAAGGCAGTAGGTACAGTCTGTTTGTATATTTGGTGGTGATAAAATGAATTCCTTTCTCATGGCTTTTATTTTCTCTGTAAAGTAGGTGATGTGATCATATGCTTAGAGTGAGAGGAGATCAGAGATTCGAGAAGATTGCAGAGGTGTGAAAGACGTTGTAGATCGTGGGAGAATTGTGTGACCAGAGAAATGTAGAATTGTCTTGCAGATTTGAGGTTGGAGATCATAATTTTTTTCTAGCAACATCAGGCTATTCTGTGCCGGCATGCAGAAAACATACCAAGGTATGGTGGTGAGGACTGTGGGTTTGACTTGCTCAGCGCACGTTTCTACCTCTACCTCTTACAAGGCAGCGCACATTGCCTTCTCTTACTGAAAATTCTGAGATGCCAAAAACGATTTCGTAGACTCCTTTGCACCTAAGGTGAGATTTGAATTTGGAACTGAGTTAGATGTGGAGACAAAGAGAGTGAGAGCCATCCAATTCTGCTGGCAAATTTCGTAGCAGAGCTGATGTCTCTTTAGTCACCAACTTTCTGGTTTAGTGACTTTCTGCAATGATAGCCATAACTTTCTTGATCATGGCGAAGACTTATTTTGCGGGTTAGGACTTGTTCCTGTAAGTTCTAACAGAGCCTGCTCCCATAGCCCTTCAAGTAATTTTGTAAGCCACATGATCCCTGGCGATAACTCCCTTTTGGCTTATCTTAGCTGGCATGGGTTCTGTTGTCTGCAACCATACTTCACTCATGCCAGACAGGTGAGCTGTAAAGACAAGGAGTTAAAGGGTGGTCAGGGTATTATTAAAATGATGGGCTATGGAGTCCAAGCTGGAGAGGGCTAACAGGTTGGAAGAAAGTAGAGGTCGATAGATTAGGATTCTAATGAGGTCAAAGAACAGTGTTCTCTGCTATAGGACTTCCATTTATCCTTAAAGTCCTCTTCAGTTGTCACCTCTTAAACTTCCCTGTGTCCTCCAAACCCTTGGTCTCTTGTTTTCTCAGCACTTTGAACCTAGCCACTATTTTAGCACTGATCACATTGCATTGCAAATGGTTACCATTATCCCTGCCACACTAGGAGGTCTGTGAGGACAGGGACTGTGTTGAAAGGGGTAGTAACAGTGGCCTGGGCATATGACCCTTGGAATGGCCTAGTATTTGTCTCTTTCTAGCCATGCATTTTAGGCAACTTACTTCATTTCTGTACACAGGAATACCTACTTTGTAGAGTTGTTTTAAGGCCTGAAGGGAGGTTTATGAAGTGCTTACCACAGAGCCTGGCGTAAACATCGGTAAATGCGCTGAACTGATGAGTTAACAGTTTGAAGTAGGATTAAACGAAGTACTTCAGTATTTCAGTAGACAGTTCTAAATTTCAGTGTGCTAGACGCTGCAGATTTGGAGGGGGGTGGATATGATACTGTGTAAGACAAGGGCATGCACAGAAGAATTGCACAATCTAGAAAGGGAAGAAAAAATGTCCATATGATTTGAATCCCATCTTCATCATTCATAGCTTTGTAATCTTGAGTAAGTTACTTAGCTTCTCTCATGTCTTAGCTTTTTCATCTATAATGTGGCAATGATAATTGCCTATCTTGTCGAGTGGTCCGAAAGAGAATCAAATTACTTAAGACAAGTAAAGCTCTTAGGTTAACGTACAGCAAATAAATACTCGAACACTAGCTGTTGTTATCAGACGACTTGGAGAGGACCTCCAAGATTATTGACTAAGAACAGTGTGGGGTAGAGCGTAAGTACTGGTCATGGGGTCTCGTGCCAATGGCTAGCTGTAAGCAGCCTCTGTCAAGTCACTTGACCTCTGTTAGCCCTATTTTCAGTTAAGTAAAAGTAATGAGGGGAATGATTCCTTTTCATCTTTCACGTTTTATGAGTCCGTTTTTTGTGTTTTTCTTTGCACTTTACTATTCTCTTTCCTGCTTTTGGACATTTTCTCAATCAATCCATGACTGAAGTTCAAAAAGGAAGAAGCATCTGTCTCAGATAGTCATTCTATCAAGTTGATGGGAAGGAGGAAGTTTGGCTACCATTGTGGCATTTGAAAATCTCCCCCTTCTGATCTAGCCAACATATTGGGTGGAAGTTATTTCCTCTACATTCTTTAGACCAGAATGCTTTCTCCCTTCTTTCTTTCCCTGTGTTTGGCGTATAGTGAGGCCATTCACTCATTCAAAAACAAACAAACAGGGGCGCCTGGGTGGCTCAGTCGGTTAAGCGTCCGACTTCCACTCAGGTCACGATCTCGCAGTCCGTGAGTTTGAGCCCCGCGTCGGGCTCTGGGCTGATGGCTCAGAGCCTGGAGCCTGCTTCTGATTCTGTGTCTCCCTCTCTCTCTGCCCCTCCCCTGTTCATGCTCTGTTTCTCTCTGTCTCAAAAATAAATAAACTTTAAAAACAAACAAAAAATCCACAAAATTTTGAGTACCTACTGCATACCAGGTATGAGGAACAGAAGACCAAATAAGAAATGATCCTTGGTTATATGTTTAGATGAATTAATCCAGACCCAGCTCATCATAGCCTCATCCATGAATAATGCCCTTCTGAAGATGACTCCTCCTTGGAATCTCTAATGTTGGGACTTAGTTCATGTTAGAAATTCTCACAAGATTTAGATATGCACTGTGAATTCTTTTGAGGCAATGGAGAATAGTGGTTGAGAATGCAGGCTCTGGAGTCATTCTGTCTTTGCTCATATCCCAGTATTTTTACTTATCAACTGATTCTCCTCTCAATTCATACGCACAGGTTAAAGATAAATTAAAATCCCTTTAACTCTTAGGGTTCTATCTAGTTATTATTGTTCTGTTACGACCACAACAAATCTAAATTCAAACAAACTTAACTACAACAACAACAATCTTGGCCAGATCAGTAAGGTGACACATGAAATGAAATTCCAAAGATGCCTTAAAATATCTTCCAATTTGGGGCGCCTGGGTGGCTCAGTCGGTTGAACATCTGACTCTTGGTTTCGGTTCAGGTCATGATCTCACAGTTCATGGGTTTGAGCCTTGCATCGGGGAGTGGGGGGTGGGGGGGTGGGTTCTGAGCTGACAGTGTGTGGCTTGCTTGGGATTTTCTCTCTCCCTCACTCTCTGGCCCTCCCCTGCTCATGTTGCTTTTTCTCAAAAAACAAAAAACAGTATCTTACCAATTTAATATTGTTCTATGAGCTTCACGTTGCTTGAGAGAAGGGAGAGCAGGATGTTTTTCTTTTTTAATTGCATGCGCATTTAAAAAAACAAGTTTGAAAGTCACAAAACTGGAGGTACAGTACAAATAACATTTTTTTTATGAATCATTTGCGAGCTAAGTTGCTGACCTGATGTCCCATCATCCCTGAATACTTTAGTTTTCCTACAAACAAGGACATTCTCCTGTATAACCACACTGTAACTACTATAATCAGAAAGTTAACATTGCATCACTTCTTCTAGTCTTTTTTTTTTAATTTTTTTAAATGCTTATTTATTTTTGAGACAGAGGGAGAGAGAGCACGAGTGGGGGAGGGGCAGAGAGAGAGGGAGACACAGAATCTGAAACAGGCTCCAGGCTCTGAGCTGTCAGCACAGAGCCCGATGCGGGGGGTCGAACCCACAAACCGTGAGATCATGACCCGAGCCGAAGTCAGACGCTTAACCGACTGAGCCACCCAGGCGCCCCTACTTCTTCTAGTCTTTAGGCCCTGTCATCATTCTGGACAGCCCAATATGTGGACGCCATCATTACCCTGCTCCTTTTCACACTGGGTTGATCTTTGCAAATTTCCTCCTCACCCAATGTAGGTTCTGACCTCACTCTGGGCCATCGTTCCCCTGCCACACCTCCCGTCCCCACACTCCTTGCTCTGTCCCTTGCTTTGGGAAGTGGGTGGCTAGTAACTGGGTCCCTGTTGCCTCCCTACACATTACAATGTTTAAAAAACGTTCACTTAAAATGAAGCACTTAAAGAAGATACTCTGTTTCTAGAATTATTGCAAAGCAACTCTAAATGGTATACCTCGATCCTTGTCAATTTACTTGCTCTTTTAAGTCTACAGATGTGGTCCTATTTGACTGGACTGACTATATCTGTGTTTCATAAACTTTCTTAAAACAGCAGGACTCTTTTTTTCAAATGACATCTTATTTAGAAGCTTAAGAGGTAAATCGGATCCAAGCAGAATACACTCCTGTACCCTTCACTCCTCCTTGCTCCCATGGTCCAACCCAAGGCGGGGAGGGCAAGTGGGAATTGGCAATAAACAGTCTCTTGCTAATTACAGAAGAGAGACTACTGGCTCCCAACTGCTCTGGGCAGGACCTCCAGAAGTTGGTTTCTTTGGGGATGTGTTCCCCCTTCCTTTGAGGACTCTCCTCTGGTTGGTTGGCCTCCAGCCCTACTTCTTTGGCTTTCTTGAACCCTGTGGTCCCTAGATATTTCAGAGTTGACTGTTTACAAATAAACTCAGGTTGAGGAGTTTCTGAACAACCACCATAAAACTCTAGGTTTTTATAGGACATAATTTGAAAGAAAACATCAAGGTCCATTTTTAAAAATGGCAACCTGCTACTTTCCTGAAATTGTAAACCTGTTACTGTCATGTTTCCAGATTTCCCTCATTAATGCATGCCACTCTCCTTCTTGAAGAATCACATAGGGTTTCTCCTGTTCTGTGGCAGGAGCCAACAGGAGAGCTTTAAGTTATGTATTCCTACACTGACCACAGCAGAAATCTGTAAGAATCAACTTTAGATTTTTTTCTGTTTTTTTTTTTTTTTTTTTTTTTTTTTTTTTTTTTTGCTCTTTCCATGACCTTTGTGTAGAGAGGAACAGGTTATAGACTAAGATGTTTGAGCTCAATTTAGGTGTCCTAGCTGCTGATGCCTCTATGGACTCTATACCTCACTAGTGCTCCAGGAGCTGGAAGAATTAAAGTCTCTTGATGGAGCCACTGGCCTCAGGTCAGTAACCTCTGTTTTAGGATGTGAGATAAGAGGTGCTAGTCAGAGAGAGGGGAAGACTGGAGATGAGCCTGCAGAGCTAGGAAGTGACAGAGGCAGGAGCCATCCAGGCTGTGATACTTGGATTTAACCTGTTTACCAGCCATTTCTCAAGAACTGACAAATCTGCCCTCATTCCATGTGCTATTAGTAGAGTAACAGAAAACCACGTGTGGCTGACCTAAGCAGAAAAGGGCGAGTTTATTATAAGGGTACAAAGTTGTCTTATGGAACTCAAGGACAAGGATGTAGGAACCTGGGGATGATACAAGAACCAGGGTTTGGAAAGCTGGTGGGATTTCTTTCAGTTCTGTTTTAAGTGAGGCAGTGCAGTTAATAGACGATGCTATAGATCAGGTAGAGTTTCCAAAACCAGGACCCAGAGCCATCATGTGAAAGTGAGGGGTTGTGCTGGGAATTGAGGAGAAAAGAAAGTATTTGGTTATGAAAATCTAGGGAAAATAGAGGTTCAAGTCTTACTGTTGGCAAATGTAAATGGGAAAAACCGAACTGAGGGCAGTACCATTAGATTTATCTTTGTGTAGCACTGATTTTATTCGGCAGAGTAAAGTGGCATGGTTAAAAGCCACTGGACTGCTAGTTTCCTCTCTGATAAAACCAGGAGACTGAGGTCCCTTCCAACTCCAAAGCTGTAAGACTTTCTTTCTTTTTTTTTTTTAATTTTTTAATTATTTTTTTTTTTTCAACGTTTATTTATTTTATTTTTGGGACAGAGAGAGACAGAGCATGAACGGGGAAGGGGCAGAGAGAGAGGGAGACACAGAATGGGAAACAGGCTCCAGGCTCTGAGCCATCAGCCCAGAGCCCGACGCGGGGCTCGAACTCACGGACCGCGAGATCGTGACCTGGCTGAAGTCGGCCGCTTAACCGACTGCGCCACCCAGGCGCCCCTAATTATTTTTTTTAACATGTATACATTTTTGAGAGACAGAAGACAGAGCACGAGAGGGGGAGGGGCTGAGAGACAGGGAGACACAATCCAAAGCAGGCTCCAGGCTCGGAGCTGTCAGCACAGAGCCCGACGTGGCGCTCGAACCCACAAACTGTGAGATCATGACCTGAGCCAAAGTCAGATGCCTAACCAACTGAGCCACCCAGACACACCCAAAGCTGTGACACTTTCTACTCAGGCAGCATCAGCATCGTCTGGGAGCTTGTGGAAATGCACAGTCTCGGGCACCACCTCGGACTTACTGAATTGCAGTCTGCATTTTAACATGATTCATAAATAAGTAAAATTGGTGCATACAAGTGCATATGTGTGTGTATAAATTACTAAAATATATTTTTAAATGATTGTTAATTAATGGTTAATAATTTCATGATTCCATTAAAAAACCTATATATATAAAGAAATTTTAAGGAATATAAACAGAATTGAATGATGAGTGATTTTTTTCTTTATTATGACTGTACGTATTATCATCTGAACTTTTAAAATGAGCATGTGTGGTTTTAGTTTTATAAGGAAAAAAATAAGCTATTGTCTCTTTTGAAAGTCACTTCAGGGGCGCCTGGGTGGCGCAGTCGGTTAAGCGTCTGACTTCAGCCAGGTCACGATCTCGCGGTCCGTGAGTTCGAGCCCCGCGTCAGGCTCTGGGCTGATGGCTCGGAGCCTGGAGCCTGTTTCCGATGCTGTGTCTCCCTCTCTCTCTGCCCCTCCCCCGTTCATGCTCTGTTTCTCTCTGTCCCAAAAATAAATAAAAAACGTTGAAAAAAAAATTTTTAAATGAAAGTCACTTCAGATTAACACCTGGCGTGGTGTTTAAAAGCAGGCGGGGGTAGGGGGGCACTGGCAGGTTTACTCGGTAGAGAATCCTACACTTGATCCTCGGGGTTGTGAGTTTGAGCCCCGTGTTTGGTGTAGACATCACGTAAATAAATACAACTACCAGAACAAAACAAAACGAAACAGATGGGGACTCTGGTGTCAGCCAGAATTTGACTTCAGTATTTCCTAGCTTTTTGACATAGGCCTAGTAATTTGACCTCTGGAAGCCTGGTTGTTTTTGTCATTTATATAAGAATACAACCTACATCTTGAGAGTTTTGAGGATTAAATGAGATACTGGATGTCCAGTGCTTAGCACAGTACCTGGATATAGTAAGTTCTTGATAACCGTTAGCTCTTATTGCTACTATCATTCCCTTTTTCAAGATTCGGTCCCTCACACGCACATCTCAAAAGCCTTCCCTTGACAAAAGAATAGTAATAATAGCAATTAGAAGACAAAAAAAAAAAACAGACTAATGCCTTTGGGTAGGTATCAAATTGGAAAAAAAAAAAAAGAGAGAGAGAGAGAGAGCAAAGTTTCCACAACTTACCATGATCACATTGGGCAAGAGAGAGGTGGATGAAAGCACATGGTGTTAAATCTAATGCCGGGGCGCCTGGGTGGCGCAGTCGGTTAAGCGTCCGACTTCAGCCAGGTCACGATCTCGCGGTCCGTGAGTTCGAGCCCCGCGTCGGGCTCTGGGCTGATGGCTCAGAGCCTGGAGCCTGTTTCCGATTCTGTGTCTCCCTCTCTCTCTGCCCCTCCCCCGTTCATGCTCTGTCTCTCTCTGTCCCAAAAATAAATAAACGTTGAAAAAAAAAAAAAATTTAAAATAAATCTAATGCTGTTACTCTGTAGAGATTAGCTGTGGGTTATGTGCACGTTTCTTCTTTAATGCAGATGTCTTTCATAGTGTTGTCTTATTTCTTTGTGATAGGACACTTGAATTAGCTTTACCAGAGGAGAAATGGAGGAGCCATAGAACATCAAGGATGAATTCAGGAAGACCCGAGACCATGGAGAACTTGCCTGCTCTCTACACTATTTTCCAAGGAGAGGTATACTCTTTTGGCTTGAACACCTACTCTTTATGTTAAGCATGGACTGAAGGTGAAAAGCTGCTGGGTCTGGAGCTCCTGTCCACTTGAGAATATGTTAAGCATTGCAGTTCCAACAGGAAGGACTTGAGGAGTGTCTGGCTACCACTTGTACCTCCTCTAAGCTCCAGACTCCCTACTGCATACTTGACATCTTCATTTGGATACCTCACAGCGGGTCTAATTTATGTTTTAAACTGAATTTTTTCTCTTCTTTCTCCCTTTATTATCTCTTTCTCTCTTTCTAGAAATGTTTTTTTTTTTTTTTTTTTTTTTTTTTTTTTTTTGTTTTAAGTAATCTCAACACCAGACGTGGGGCTCGGACTCAAGACCCTGAGGTCAAGAGTCAGATGCTTCACTGACTGAGCCATCCAGGGGCCCCTTAATTTTTTCCCTTTTCTAGCCAAATCTGTTCTTCTGGTCTTTCTCATCTCAGCAGATGCAGCCACTACCCTTCCAGGTACCCATGCTAAATGTCTGGGTCTCGCCCTTCATTTCTCCTCTTGATTTGATTTTGATTTTTCCTCTCCCTCCAGTCCACCAGCAACTTGTGTCATTACTCCCTCCCAAATGCATCTCTTATCTGTATACTTCTTTACCCCTATGGCACCCCGTTAGTTCAAGCCCGCCATCTCTTGACCTGGCCTTACTGGGGCCCCAATGTCTATTGTAGTTCCTCTCCAATCTGTTCTTTCTGTTGCAGCCAGAATAACATCTAGAACAGATTGAACATGCTGCTTTCTCGCACTTCTAGGCTTCTGATTGTACTTGAATTCATCCAAACAATTTCATGATCCCTACATGACTTGGCCTCTGCTTACGTGGACAGTGTGGTTTTGTTTCATTCTACTTACACACCAGCCACACTGGCCTCCCTGCAACTCTGAGTACTCTAAGCTTGCTTCCTTCTCAGGACTTTTGCATATGCTGTCTGTAACTACCCCACTCTCCCACCAACTTCTTTTCATGTTTTTGGTCTCAACCCTAGCGCCGTCTCCTCAGAGATCTCTGCCCCACCATAAATAAATAGGCTCACCCTGTATTTGCGTACTTGTGTAATGTCTGTCTTCCTCACAAGATACTCAGCTCCATGAGGACAGAGCCCTGAGTGTTTGGTTCGTGGTCGTGTATCTCAGTCCCAAGTAGGTGGGTGGAAAATAATAGGTGCTCGTCACATCTTTGGTGACTGAATGAACGATTGGCCTTTGAGGAAGAAGGCGTTGTATTTGGAGAGCAGACAAAACCTGGATTCCTGTCCTGGCGCTTTTACTTGAGACTGCCACTTACTCTCTTTGGGGCCTCAGTTTTCGCATTTGTTAAATGGAGATAATAACTCCTTCCAGAGGATTGCCCTGATGGTTCAATAAGCTGTCATTTGTAAAAACAATGCCTGAGATACAGTAGGAATTCATTAATGTTGCCTTCCTCTTCTCAAAGCAAAAGTAGAGCCAAAAAATTGTTTTTGCTGCCTTATGAGTGCCCATGGTATTTTCACAGTATCATTCCTGTGGTATTCATACTTGCTTTATGGTTCACAAAAGTTTCATCTTCTAATAATATAAAGCCTTTGAGGACAGACTTTGTGTCTGTCAGTCGGTTGTAGATAATCGTGGCTTTTGACTCCTGTTAAGTCAGTCCCGACTTGTAATATGAAGTCAAGATACAAAGGTTAATAACATTCTAGCGTATAGGAAACTTCTGCTCTTCAGAGCCTTTATATTTTTCTTTAAGGCCCGAGGTATCTCCAAAGATCAGTGAGGTAGGTACAAGGGCTCAGGAAAAGGAAGTAGTAGCACCAGAGATGAAATTGATTTTTCTGGCGACGAAGCCTTCATTTGTCAGATGTTGCACAAAAGACAGAAGAGTGCTGTTCCCTTTCACAAACTGACTCAGATTTTTAAAGTGGCTGCCGACTGACAGCTTCTTAAATGAGGTGGGACTTGAATTAGTGTAGGGTTTATATATTTTACTATTAAGGATGGATGGGCTAGGAGAATATTTGGAGAGAACTTAGTAGTTCTAGCTTAGTATTTCAGGAGCACAGTTTGAAAAATGATGGTTTAGAGGTGAATAGAATTAGGGAGAGAGAAGTTGCTTGATAAATCAGAAAGAAGAAACTATTTTTCAGAATATTCATCTACAAACATTTTTATTTATTCTTATTTTTTTATTAGAGCACACGTGAGCAGGGGGTGGGGCGGGGGGGCAGAGAGAGAGAGAATATCTCAAGCAGGCTCCATGCTCAGCATAGAGCCCGATGCAGAGCTCGATCCCATGACCCTGGGATTATAACCTGAGCTGAAACAGAGTTGCATGCTCAACCGACTGAGCTACCCAGGCGCCCCTTCATCCACAAACATTTAATGAGTGCCTGATATTTAAAAGCAGACCTGGTTACGTTAAATTCTATTTATTTACTTATGAATTTATATCTATTTTTGAGAGAGAGCAAGCGAGCACACATGCGTGCTCAGGCAGGGGAGGGGCAGAGAGACAGGGAGACAGAGGATCTGCACTGACAGCAGCGAGCCCGATGTAGGACTTGAACTCACGAGACACAAGATCATGACCTGAGTTGAAGTCTGACGCTCAACCAACTGAGCCACCCAGGCGCCCCAAGACCCTGTTACATTGAAACTCAAAAACTTTGTAAGCTTAACATATGTCAGCACTTTGACACACTCTGTCTTTGATTCTCTCCAAAAAATTGTTAACTCTGTTTTACGGATAAGGAAACGTCTCTCAAAAGTTAAGTAATTGCCCAATGGTAAATAAATGGCAAAAACTGGGATTTTATTTTAAGTATGTATGTATTTATTTATTTATTTGTTTGTTTGTTTATTTATTTATTTATTTTAAATGTTTATTCTTGGAGGAGGGAGGAACAGAGAGAAGGGAGACACAGAATCCAGAGCAGGCTCCAGGATCCAAGCTGTCGGCACAGAGCCCGACGTGGGGCTTAAACCCACGAACCGTGAGATCATGACCTGAGCCGAAATCAGACGCTTAACCGACTGAGCCACCCAGGCACCCCTAAAGTTTTTTTTTTTTAATGTTTATTTATTTTTGAGAGAGAGAGAGCATGAGCAGGGGAGGGGCAGAGAAAGAGAAAAAAACAGAATCCACAGCAGGCTCTAAGCTGTCAGCACAGAGCCCGATGTGGGGCTTGAACCCAGGAACCTGAGCCAAAGTCAGACACTTAACCAACTGAGCCACCCAGGTGCCCCTAAAACTGGGATTTTAAATCAAGTCCTCTCTCCGAGTCTGCTTTCTGCTAACTGCACCTGGGGTTGTCCACCTGTGCATAAATGCATGGAGGAGCCAAAAGAACCCTAAAAGAACTCTTTGAACTGAATTGAGGTAGAGGAGGAAGGTAGACGGTAAATCTGGTTGTTCCACAGTCCTTTGTTTCTTTCTCAGTTATGGCCCCTATCGCAGTGTCTTGTAGGATTGTTACTCGTGTACGTATTTGTCTCCTCCACTAGATTGTGAGTTACTGGAGAGCAAGTGCTAGGGTTGTCTCATATATCTTGGTAACTACTTCAAATTCACTTAAAAATAGACTGAAATTTTTTTTTAAAGTTTTAATCTCACAGTACCTGATGTGGTATCCCGCCTATAGGTGCTCAGTAAATGTGTGAATACAATGGAACCCAAGCCGCTCAGGACCAATCATCCTTGAAGAAAACTGGTGGTGCGGCCTGTAACCTAGCACTTCTTCTCTGAGCAGGCTCAGCAGGGCTGGGAAGCTTAGCGACCAAACAGCTGAGAAGCCAACATTCGTCCTTCTCCCACCCTCGGAGAGGCATCTTAGTGCCCACGTCAGTGCAGCCTGGTAGCAGGTACAAGCGTAGCAGTGGGAGCTGGGATTTGGCTCAGCCCAGCCATAGCCAAAGAAATGCGGAGGGGAAATTGGTGTTGGTGAGGCGGAAATAGCATGGGACAAAGTAAAAAGGAAACTTCTGTTCTTGCTACTTTCTACCTTTGTGATTTCGGACGGGCAACTTAGGTCTCTGAGCCTCAAGCTTCTCATTCACGTTATGGGGCTAACTAGTTCCAAGGCCAGTGCAACCTCTAATCTGAAGATGGCAGATTCATTTTACCTAAGTCCTGAGTTCAGTTGAGATAATTACTGAATTTTTCCCCCTGAGCTATTTGACTAATTATTCTTGGGACACCAGGCAGACTGTGTGATCATCTGCAGCAGGTGCCATTCTGTTCATTGCAAGTCTGACTGCACCCTAGGAGACACAGTGATGGAAACACCTGGCCCTGGAAATCGGCAAGAATGCCTTTGCCCGACTGAACACTCGACTGCATCCATTCTGGAACACATTAACTTTCCCTTTTGGGAGAAGCCAAATTAAGGTCTGTTAATGATCTTTTCTCAAAAGATCGTAATGTGACACTGGAGTTTCAGGATTGAAAAGTGAGATGGTCTTAATTTACAGCAGCAAAGCCAGTTGGGCTCCAACTTCCAGATGCTTCTTTTAAGTTTGTGAGATAACTATGCCCTTTAATAATGTGGTTATGCAGTATGAAACACCTCAGCCATCTTTTTAGAACTGTGGAGCAAAAGCCTTTAGTTGGTCCAGAAAGAAGAGATTTGCTTTTATTGTAATTAAAAACTTACAGTCTTGGGGCGCCTGGGTGGCGCAGTGGGTTAAGCGTCCGACTTCAGCCAGGTCACGATCTCGCGGTCCGTGAGTTCGAGCCCCGCGTCAGGCTCTGGGCTGATGGCTCAGAGCCTGGAGCCTGTTTCCGATTCTGTGTCTCCCTCTTTCTCTGCCCCTCCCCCGTTCATGCTCTGTCTCTCTCTGTCCCCAAAAAAATAAATAAACGTTGAAAAAAAATTAAAAAAAAAAAAACTTACAGTCTTATCTTTATCCATGTGGCTCCATTTTACGGAAAACAACTTGCTCTGTGGGCTTAGGTAAGCACTTTGTGTCTCTGGTCTTCACTTTCTTTATTCGAAACATGATAGGATTGTACCAGCTAATGTCTAAGGTCCCTTCTTCAGTTCCACTTTACCTTGATTTCAAGTACTAGCATCTGCCTGGTTGTACTGCTTCTTTGGGACTGTCTGGTCCCTACCCCAGTGTAGCGCATTCATCAGTACAGAAGAAGATTTTAGAACTTCTGGTTCTTAACCCATTAATGCTGTATCTTGGAGAGTTAGTTTCAAGTGTCCATTTATAAAATGAGATGAATGGGGATGCCTCGGTGGTTCATTCAGTTGAATGTCCAACTCTTGATTTCAGGTCATGATCCCAGGGTCATGGGATTGAGCCCCCTGTAGGGCTCCACACTGAGCATGGAGCTTGCTTGAGATATTCTCTCTCTCT